TTAATCTTTTTTGGGGTTTCATCATCTTTTGGGTATTCTCTTAGTCTTTTGCGTGGAGAACTTGTTGGAATGTGGTCTTGGTGGCTGGAAGTTATCGGAATTTTTTTCCATTCTAGAGAAAACGAAGAGCATTTTGGGGTAGAGAGAGAAAGTGAAAGGTGAACGACAGTGTCGCTATTCACAGCAGGCAGAAAGAGACTCATAGACGAAGGAGAAAGGGGAAGGGGAAGGAGGAGGAGCCACCGCAAGTAGGCAGAGAGAGACGATGGAGAGAGGGGAAGGAGAGAAAATGGGGGAGAATGAAATGAAATTAGGGTTTTGGTGGTATAATATTTAATTACCTGAATTTTGATTAAAAAAATTTCACACCTGATTGTTGTACTTTGAAATTTAAAAAACAATACATAACTAAGAGGTTTAGTTTTACCAATTTCAAATTTATAAACTTAAGTTTAAAATTTCAAATATTTTTAAATTTTATTTATAAATTAATTAATTAAACATATATTTTATTAATTAAATATATTAAGGTCACAGTTCCATATAATTTGGTCACAAATTCTATATAATTGGTCANCCAATTCAAATTTAAGATATTCTGTTTAAAATTTCAAATTTCAGAATTTTTTAAATTTTATTTATAAATTAATTAATTAAACATATATTTTATTAATTAAATATATTAAGGTCACAATTCCGTATAATTTGGTCATAAATTATTTCTCGGTCACAATAAAAATTTTATAGATCACAATTTTTTCGTCGATCACAAATTTATAAAATTAATAAGTCAAGTATTATTCATTGGTTACAAATCACAAATTTTATATATCACAAATTATTTTAACGTACAATTCAAAAAAATTATAAGTAACAATTTGTTCATCGGTCACAAATCAAAAATTGAAATGTTACAATTTATTTATATGTCACAAGTCACAAATATTATAAGTCACAAATTATCGTTCACAAATTATAAGTCACCACCTTCCCATTGTCTACCACCACAACCATAGCCATGACCTCCACTTGCACCACCAACAAAAAATCTCACCACCCTAATAGCATCAACACCACACCACACCCGCCGCTCAGATCTTCTTACTCTGGATGATGCCGACGCCTCTACTCGTGTTAAGTTGGAGTCTCGCCAACACTGTTGAGAGAGGAGTTAGAGAGGCGAGAGAGATGTAGAGACTAGAGAGGAGGGAGGGGGGAGGAAAATAATAGGGTTTAGGGGATATGGTGGGTATATAGATTAATTTAGTTTTAAAATATTATTATTAATATTTTAATGTTTAATTATGATCTGGTTCTTGTAAAAATAAACTTTGAATTTGATTTTTGAAATGTTAATTTGAAAATTCTAGTTCCATGTAATTTCCATTTTATTACAGCCACATGGTTTTTAACTTTTCAATTCAAAAATAAAATTTTTAAATTTTTTTTTTTCAAAAATTCAGATGATAATTCATCTTTTAAAATACAAATAATAATATTATAAAATTGAATTATTCACCCCACTCTATCCCCACCTCCACCCAACTCAATTTTACCAAACCCAAAAAATCACTTCCACCTCTCGTCTCCCTCTCTTCTCACTCTTTCTACCTAACCCACCCCAAACTATTCTGATGCTGCATTCACTCCTCATCCGATGTCGGGCCACCCCTCTTTTGATGACTGCAAGAGGCATCTCGTTGAGCTGCGCACAAGTGAGGCTATGCCGATGGTGTGCAGCTATTGTTTTTTTTTTTTTTTTCCCAATTTTTTTGTTCGAAGACCTATAATTAGCAGTGGTGCGATGGTCGACAACGATGGTGGTGGTGGTTGTGGCGATGGGTTGTGTGTGGAATGGCGTGGGGTGGGAACCCCTACAAACAATGGTAATAAAGGTTGATTGTGACCAATAAATTGGTTAATTTGGGACTAATAACTAATATGTGGTCAATTAATTATTTGAGATTGAATATTTTGTGATCAATAAATAATATGTAACTTAAAAATTTGAGTCGTGACTTGTAAAATTTATGATTTGTAACCGATAAATAAATTATGATCAATTAATTTTTTTGATTTGTGATTAATGGATAAATTATGACTTATAAATTTTTTTATTTGTAATCGAGAAATAATTTGTGATTTATAAATTTTTTGATTCGTGATTGAGAAATAATTTGTGACCAAATAGTATAAAATTATAATATTAATATATTTAATTATTATAATATGTTTTTAATTAATTATTTCATAATAAAATTTAATTAATATCTTATTTTTGAAATTTCAAACTTTGTTTCTTAATTTTGAAATGAATCATACATATTTAATCTCTTAGATGTGAAATTTTCTCCTACTAAAATGTCGGCCCATTTTCAATTCTAAAGAGCATTTTTCTTAGGGATCCCAGTGGACGGCTTCGAGGCAGCCATTCCTTGTCCCACTAAAGATGGACGGGGAGAGCTCTGGATTCTGGTTTAGGGCATTCATTTGTCCCATTTACTGTTTCGTTTAATATTTTTTTCTTTGAAATATAATTTGTCGTTTTAAAATAATACTAGGCTGGTTGATTGATACTCTTCCCACCAGGAACTCGATTATGGACTCTTGTTGCGAACACGTCCAGTACAACTTAGTGCAGCTCGGTCTCGAGTCGATCGAATTTTTTCGCCATCACTAATTTTTACCCAAATCA